ACTCGATAGCAAGTAACAACTAACCCGAGACCAGGTAGAGGGTTGGCAAACAATGTTTCTACAAGTGTATTGGTACGTTCTGTAAGAATTCCCAGGCGTATAGTAGAGCTGACAAGGGATAAGATTGTAGTCATTTCTTGGCCACAGCTAGCTACCCAGAGGGAGCGAGTAGTGAGACCCGTGGGCTTGGGACCATGGTCACTGGGGACATCAAACTCAATTGGCATAACATTGGACACAAAACATTGTTCCACCTCCTCCTTTGGTGAGTAGGGACTGGGATCTTAAAAGCTAGCAAGCTGCCATCTGGATGCAACAATGGGTTTCTCCTCGTCCAGAGCAAAGAAGAAGACAGAGAGGCAACTGTCCAAACGCACACTGCCGGTGAGGGGCCCAGCGGTGACCTCGCACCCCAACCCGGAGATCACAGTGAGCGCCGGGTGGGTGACCTGCCCAGCGAGCTCAGAGCGGCCCCGCAGACTGGCAGGCGCCCCAAGGCACTAGCCTGGGCGCGGGGAGCGACAGCCAGCAGCCCGGCCACCTGCGATCCAACGCCATCGAGCCTGGCACCGCAACCTCATTCAATCCGCCCGCAAGACCGCGGCACTGCGCCCGCGAACCCGTTCCGGCCCACACTCCCAGTTGCGGCGCAACCGACTTCACCTCCGCGCTCCATCCCGAGATCTCTGGCTACTTTAAAATTATTTAGAAAAAAAAAAAAGGAAGTGGGTCCTACCATCCTGTCAGAGCCGGGTGAGATGGCGGAAAAAAATAATCCCTTAAGTAAATGACTCCTCTATAGGACTCACGACCTTGAAACCCTCAATTGCAGAGATTTGAGAAATGACTAAATTCTATCATTTCTTGGCTCGTGGGTTCCAAAAGTTCCCGTCAGTTTCTTCGAGCTTCCCCCCACCGTTTTCTACAGATAGAAGTTTCCGAACGCCGCTGCTTCCAGAAGATACTGTCCGGCGTTAAAATAGTCTCGGTTGCTAAATAAGTCTCGGGAGGACTACTGCGCATGAGCGAGGTGTTGTGTCCTCCCGCGAGAGGCCGGTGCGTTTGTTCCTGAGAGGACTCGGCCGGTTGCTGGGACGTCGGTGTTGCTGGTGCATCATGGCGTCTGTGGGGACCCTCGCCTTCGACGAGTATGGGCGCCCGTTTCTCATCATCAAGGACCAGGACCGCAAGTCCCGACTCATGGGACTGGAGGCCCTGAAGGTAACGGTGCAGGGACCGTGGTGGTGGGACGCAGGCGGCGGGTCGATCGTCTGCGCCTGCGCAAGCCCGAAACAGGGCGGCCATGTGCGCTCGGAGAAGTCGAGAAGCCGCCTTCCGCACGGGGCTCCTGTGCCACCGGCTGTGCGCCTCGCTGGAGCCCGGGAGAGGCCCCCCTCCCGAGCTGGGCGGGCCACACGCGGTGACACCGGCCACGATGGGGTCTCGCAGCCACGCAGCCGTCCCGGCGCTCGGCGCTGACGGGGCGGGGCAGGGAAGCCCGACTTGGGGCGTCTCTCCTTGGGAGACTCTCCTTGCCCTTCGGGGGTGTCCCTACAGCAGTCCCAGAAGGAGAGAACGCATTCTCTGTCGGGGAGAGATGCAGGCGGTGTCCTACAGTCACGCGCGTGGACTCCCCGGGGCGGGAGAGCGTCAGCTGCAGGGCGCTGTGGGGCCGGCGTCC